AACCCATGACATAGCGCTCGCGGAACGCCAGGCGAGTGTCTTACCACTACACCACGGAGACTGTAAGAGACTGTTTTCGCCGCTAGCGGCCAAAAATCGGGCGATTTTTGCCGCTACCGGCCGAAAACCGCGCTATTTTGCGCAAAAACCATGCGATTTTCGCCGCTGGCGGGCAAAAATCGCGATTTTCGCCGCTACCGGCCAAAAATAGCGCGATTTTCGCCAATAGCGGCCGAAAACCGTGCGATTTTCGCCGCCAGCGGCCAAAAATCGGGCGATTTTTGCCGCTACCTGCCGAAAACCGCGCTATTTTGGGCAAAAACCATGCGATTTTCGCCGCTGGCGGACAAAAATCGCGATTTTCGCCGCTACCGGCCAAAAATAGCGCGATTTTCGCCGCTACCGGCCAAAAACCGCGCGATTTTTGCCGGTAGCGGCCAAAAACCATGCGATTTTCGCCGCTAGCGGCCAAAAATCGGGCGATTTTTGCCGCTACCGGCCGAAAACCGCGCTATTTTGCGCAAAAACCATGCGATTTTTGCAGCTGGCGGGCAAAAATCGCGATTTTCGCCGCTACCGGCCAAAAATAGCGCGATTTTCGCCGCTATCGGCCAAAAACCGCGCTATTCTCGCCGCTAGCGGCCAAAAACCATGCGATTTTCGCAGCTGGCGGGCAAAAATCGCGATTTTCGCTGCTACCAGCGAAAAATAGCGCGATTTTCGCTGCTAGCGGCCAAAAACCCCGCGATTTTCGCCACTCCTGGCCAAATATTGCGCGATTTTCGCCGCTAGCGGCCAAAAACCATGCGATTTTTGCAGCTGGCGGGCAAAAATAGCGCTATTTTCGCCGCTACCGGCCAAAAACCGCGCGATTTTCGCCGCTAGCGGCCAAAAACTATGCGATTTTCGCAGCTAGCGGGGAAAAATCGCGATTTTCGCCGCTACCGGCCAAAAATAGCGCGATTTTCGACGCTAGCGGCCAAAAACCGCGCTATTTTTTATGCTAGCGGCCAGAAACCATGCGATTTTTGTAGCTGGCGGGCAATAATCGCGCGAATTTCGCCGCTACATGCCAAAAATCGCGCGATTATCGCCGCTAGCGGCCAAAAACCGTGCCATTTTCGCCGCTAGCGGCGAAAAATTGCGCGATTTTCGCCGCTAGCGGCCAAAAACCATGCGATTTTTGCAGCTGGCGGGCAAAAATAGCGCTATTTTTGCTGCTACCGGCCAAAAACCGCGCGATTTTCGCCGCTAGCGGCCAAAAACCATGCGATTTTCGCAGCTGGCGGGCAGAAATCGCGATTTTCGCCGCTACCGGCCAAAAATAGCGTGATTTTCGCCGCTAGCGGCCAAAAACCGCGCGATTTTCGCCGCTAGCGGCCAAAAAATATGCGATTTTCGCAGCTGGCGGGCAAAAATTGCTATTTTCGCCGCTACCGGCCAAAAATAGCGCGATTTTCGCCGCTAGCGGCCAAAAGCCGTGCGATTTTCGCCGCTAGCGGCCAAAAATCGGGCGATTTTTGCCGCTAACGGCCGAAAACCGCGCTATTTTGCGCAAAAACCATGCGATTTTCGCAGCTGGTGGGCAAAAATCGCGATTTTCGCCGCTACCGGCCAAAAATAGCGTGATTTTCGCCGCTACCGGCCAAAAATCGCGCGATTTTCGCCGCTAGCGGCAAAAAAACCATGCGATTTTCGCAGCTGGCGGGCAAAAATCGCGATTTTCGCCGCTAGTGGCCAAAAACCGTGCGATTTTCGCCGCTACTGGCCAAATATTGCGCGATTTTCGCCGCTAGCGGCCAAAAACTATGCGATTTTCGCCGCTACCGGCCAAAAATAGCGTGATTTTCGCCGCTACCGGCCAAAAATCGCGCGATTTTCGCCGCTAGCAGCCAAAAACCATGCGATTTTCGCAGCTGGCGGGCAAAAATCGCGATTTTCGCCGCTACCAGCCAAAAATAGCGCGATTTTCGCCGCTAGCGGCCAAAAACCGTGCGATTTTCGCCGCTACTGGCCAAATATTGCGCGATTTTCGCCGCTAGCGGCCAAAAACTATGCAATTTTTGCAGCTGGCGGGCAAAAATAGCGCTATTTTCGCCGCTACCGGCCAAAAACCGCGCGATTTTTGCCGCTAGCGGCCAAAAACTATGCGATTTTTGCAACTGGCGGGCAAAAATAGCGCTATTTTCGCCGCTACCGGCCAAAAACCGCGCGATTTTTGCCGCTAGCGGCCAAAAACTATGCGATTTTTGCAACTGGCGGGCAAAAATAGCGCTATTTTCGCCGCTACCGGCCAAAAACCGCGCGATTTTTGCCGCTAGCGGCCAAAAACTGCGATTTTTGCAACTGGCGGGCAAAAATAGCGCTATTTTCGCCGCTACCGGCCAAAAATCGCGCGATTTTCGCCGCTAGCGGCCAAAAACTATGCGGTTTTCGCAGCTGGCGGGCAAAAATCGCGATTTTCGCCGCTACCGGCCAAAAATAGCGCGATTTACGCCAATAGCGGCCAAAAACCGTGCGATTTTCGCCGCTAGCGGCCAAAAATCGGGCGATTTTTGCCGCTTCCGGCCGAAAACCGCGCTATTTTGCGCCAAACCATGCGATTTTCGCCGCTGGCAGGCAAAAATCGCGATTTTCGCCGCTACCGGCCAAAAATAGCGCGATTTTCGCCGCTACCGGCCAAAAACCGCGCGATTTTTGCCGGTAGCGGCCAAAAACCATGCGATTTTCGCAGCTGGCGGGCAAAAATCGCGATTTTCGCCGCTACCGGCCAAAAATAGCGTGATTTTCGCCGCTACCGGCCAAAAATTTCGCGATTTTCGCCGCTAGCGGCCAAAAACCATGCGATTTTCGCAGCTGGCGGGCAAAAATCGCGATTTTCGCCGCTACCAGCCAAAAATAGCACGATTTTCGCCGATAGCGGCCAAAAACCGTGCGATTTTCGACGCTACCGGCCAAAAATTGCGCGATTTTCGCCACTAGCGGCCAAAAACCATGCGATTTTTGCAGCTGGCGGGCAAAAAAAGCGCTATTTTCGCCGCTACCGGCCAAAAACCGCGCGATTTTCGCCGCTAGCGGCCAAAAACTATGCGATTTTCGCAGCTGGCGGGGAAAAATCGCGATTTTCACCGCTACCGGCCAAAAATAGCGCGATTTTCGCCGCTAGCGGCCGAAAACCTTGCGATTTTCGCCGCTACCGGCCAAAAATCGGGCGATTTTTGCCGCTAACGGCCGAAATCCGCGCTATTTTGCGCAAAAACCATGCGATTTTCGCAGCTGGCGGGCAAAAATCGCGATTTTCGCCGCTACCGGCCAAAAATAGCGTGATTTTCGCCGCTCCCGGCCAAAAATCGCGCGATTTTCGCCGCTAGCGGCCAAAAACCATGCGATTTTCGCAGCTGGCGGGCAAAAATCGCGATTTTTGCCGCTACCGGCCAAAAACCGTGCGATTTTCGCCGCTAGCGGCCAAAAATTGCGCGATTTTCGCTGCTAGCGCCCAAAAACCATGCGATTTTTGCAGCTGGCGGGCAAAAATAGCGCTATTTTCGCCGCTACCGGCTAAAAACCGCGCGATTTTCGTCGCTAGCGGCCAAAAACTATGCGGTTTTCGCATCTGGCGGGTAAAAATCGCGATTTTCGCCGCTACCGGCCAAAAATAGCGCGAGTTTCGCCAATAGCGGCCAAAAACCGTGCGATTTTCGCCGCTAGCGGCCAAAAATCGGGCGATTTTTGCCGCTACCGGCCGAAAACCGCGCTATTTTGCGCAAAAACCATGCGATTTTCGCAGCTGGCGGGCAAAAATCGCGATTTTCGCCGCTACCGGCCAAAAATAGCGCGATTTTCGCCGCTACCGGCCAAAAACCGCGCGATTTTGTCCGCTAGCGGCCAAAAACCATGCGATTTTCGCAGCTGGCGGGCAAAAATCGCGATTTTCGCCGCTACCAGCCAAAAATAGCGTGATTTTCGCCGCTACCGGCCAAAAATAGCGCGATTTTGCGCAAAAACCATGCGATTTTCGCAGCTGGCGGGCAAAAATCGCGATTTTCGCCGCTACTGGCCAAAAATAGCGCGACTTTCGCCGCTATCGGCCAAAAACCGTGCGATTGTCGCCGCTAGCGGCCAAAAATCGTGCGATTTTCGCAGCTGGCGGGCAAAAATTGCAATTTTTTGCCGCTGCCGGCCAAAATTAGCGCGATTTTCGCCGCTAGCGGCCAAAAACCGTGCGATTTTCGCCGCTAGCGGCCAAAAATCGGCGATTTTTGCCGCTAACGGCCATAAACCGCGCTCTTTTTGATGCTAGCGGCCAGAAACCATGCGATTTTTGCAGCTGGCGGGCAATAATCGCGCGAATTTCGCCGCTACATGCCAAAAATCGCGCGATTTTCGCCGCTAGCGGCCAAAAATCGCGCGATTTTCGCTGCTAGCGACCAAAAATCGCGCGATTTTCGCCGCTAGCGACCACAAATTGCGCAATTTTCGGCGGTAGCGGCCAAAAATCGGGCGATTTTTGCCACTAACGGCCGAATACCGCGTTATTTTCGACGCTAGCTGGCAAAAATCGACTGATTTTCGCTAGCTGGCAAAAATTGACTAATTTTCGACTAATATGCAAACTACTTTACAAAGTAGCGAAAGTAGCCCAATTTCGGGCTACAAAGTAGCGAAAGTAGCCCAATTTTGGGCTACAAAGTAGCGAAAATAGCCCAATTTTGAGCTACAAAGTAACGAAAGTAGCCCAGTTTTGGGCTAAAAAGTATCGAAAGTAGCGAAATTTTGGGCTAAAAGTAGCAAAAGTAGCCCAATTTTGGGCTAAAAAGTAGCGAAATTTTGGGCTAAAAAGTAGCGAAATTTTGGGACCGGCTTCCTGTCCTCGTTGAGGCCACTAGGGTTGAACAGGTAATACCTGTAATGAACAGGTAATATGTATGTAAATCACACAATGAATGACTTTTCTATTGTCGTAGGTGTAATTATGGGTGTATGATTAAAGAAATGACACAGCAAATCTTCACATTTATTGATATGTCACTGGAGAACACATCAATTACAGTGTGGGGTGTATATATATATATATATTTAGATACAGTATATATAGATTCCTTAAGCTTCACAGGGATACTGAAACAAAATCCTTATTACAATGTATACTGTTACACAAAGGTGAGGTATACATCTTGCATTTAGCTTATGTTTTATTACTATGATGACTTTGTTGGGTGTTGTTACATCTTCTACATAATGCAGAGGCTTCATCTTAGCCTCTACACTGTCATGAAACTCCTGTGATGCCAAAAAATACAGTGGACGGTTGCTTTATAAAGAACTTCCAAAGACTGGATGCACATCACTGTTTAGTGGATGTCCTGCCAACGCAACATGATTTAATTATACTGTATAGCCAAAGCCATATCATGAATGTCTTGTACACTTATCTGGAAATTCAATATATAAGACTTGCTCCATTATATTACATAAAGTCAATTATATACAAATACGTACTATACTGTATTTCATTACAATGCATGATTACAAGATCTTCAATGGCAATTACTGTACCATATACTACTAGTGTTTCAAATATATATAGTTACATTGTGATGTATACTAAGGTACAAGTAATAATAACATGTCCAAATGTTCAGTACAAAACTGTTGATACATATCATATACATCACTGCACTATTTGGCGACTTTGTCCCTGCACAAATTAAATTATTCAAACTAGTGTCTGGAATACAATGCTTTCTGATATATGGGAAAAATCTTGTGTGTTCTATAATTTTCAGTAATGATTTCATACTATACATCATGTTAGTAGCAGGGAAAATAACATCTTTCATTTCATTTTTTTTCAGTGATGTTACGCTGTACTCTAAACTAGGGTGAAAGTTACTGAACACGGCAGTGTGTGATTCATCCCAGCATTTTTGGGGTGTCGGTCTGTACTGTGGGTGTGACCCATCTGTTTGCTTCTTGTATTTTTTAATAAATTCATGCACACACAATTGCACAACAGAATGTAGACAATAAATATGCTGACAATCTATCACTAAGACAAGCTATACATTGTTGCATTCATCTATGATAATTACAGCAAGAAGGGTTATTCTCCTCTACATATACTGTATCTGTTACACAGGTCATCAGCTACACTCTCGTGTTACACTACACATGAGTGACAGTTGTGTTAGAAGGGGCACCGGGTAACAACTGCCGCTATATAACATTAAGAGATCAATATTTACCTAAAGCATGTGGGTCACTCACTCTCCGGATCCAATATAAAATGTTGCGTTCATATAATTTTTGCTGATTACAGTATTTAAGATGAAACAATTTTACCCATAAATGATAATTGTGACAACATGTAGCAACTTATAACATTTTATTCTTTAGAATTAATTACTTTAGCCAGTACTGTATCTATTTGAAGTTAAAAATTTGGATGCTAGTGCCACAATCACAATACACAGCCAGCTTCAATATTAAAACAGACTAACGAAATATATTTTACAGATAGTCCACGAACACAAAATATAAAGTACCTGAAACTCTGTGATGAACGTTTTAAATATATATGCGAGCACACACAAGCCTTTATTAATATAGGGCATTATACCTACATTCTCCAGTATGTGACAATAAACCGCTCTTTGGCTCGCACGTATTTATTAAGGGAAGACTGCCCCCTTCAAGCAGGAGAGTCGTTTAATGTTCTCACAAAACTAGAGATAATTCCTGATTATTGCCTGATCTTATAAACATCTGTCTTCCAAGACATACCTTTTATTCTAACTAATAGCTATACAATCTTTACGTACATTCCCTCTCTCGTCTCTGGTAATCTTGCCCTTTTCATCTGTATCTTTTAACTTTACTTTCTTTCATCCATCTGTTCTTTCCACCCCTCTGTCTAGATATATTCCACCCCCTTCATTTGTGCCTTGATAATCTTTACTTCCTCCCCTTTGCCTTTGTAGTTATGTTGAATTCCCCTATTTTGTTTGGTTATCTGTCCCTTTCATCTGTACAGTTACCTTTGGCTTTTATCATTTAACTGTCTAGTTATGTTAAGTTTCGTCTTCTTTGCCCCTTTCATGACTGATTATCTGTGCTGGCCCAAACCCTCCAGCTGCCTGGCTTCTTTACCCTCCTTCATCTGTCCTGATATATCATCTCTGACTCTCTTCTTTTATCTATATCTCGTTCTTATCTATGATAGTTTTATCTTACCCTTACATTTCTCCCATCCTCTTTCTCTTTCAACTCTTCCACACTGTCGAATATCCCACTTTAATTTTATATATGTATATAAATTCCACCTCTTAAGGGATTTTGTTTGCAATATACATAGCAGAAGCTCTACAAAGAGAGATGACAGTGCTTGAAAAATACAAAAATACATTTATTCACTATGTAAATATTGGTCATATAATGCTTTTGATTCTGGATGGCAATTGGATTCTAACTGCTCTTCCATATAGGTGAACAAACTGATCCACATTGTTATACTGAGCAAACGGATCCACACCGCTACAAGAGACAAACTGATATGCACTGTGATATTGCAACAAAATTATCAAGATTGCTGGATAAACTTATCCGCATTGCTATATTTCAACTGAACACTTCAATCATTAACTACCGCACTGCGCACTTGGTTTTGGCAAAAACTTCATAGTGCAATTCTTAAGGACATATTTGGGTTCTTTTTATAAATGTTCAGGTAAAGTTAATGTCCGAATGTTTCCAAACACAACCAATTCATTTCAAAACATAAAAATTAATGAAAATATTATAATATAGCCTAATTAAAAAAAGCATAAAATAGCACAACTTTCAGAGCGCCTCATGGCACTCTGCACAGTGTGGTGGTTAAACGCCTAGACTGTCAATCCAAATAAATATAATAAAATACAGTACAGTATAATGTTTATCCAACTATCCAAGGAAATATTTTAATATATTTTTGTTATAGCATGAGTTTAGCCCCAAGACAAGGCTGGGCAAGGGACAGTGATGTAACACTGTATTAACCTTGTTTAAATGTTACTCAAGCACACCTTGGCCGCTGGCAATTTACTCTAGGTGAATCATACCGGCAGAGAAATAATAACTCCTATAAATGTGGCCAGTTATGCAATCTGCTGTGGTCACATTTCGACATAAACAACTCATTAGAAGGAATATGCTGTACATTTAGAAAAATATCACAAGTTGCCTTCTTTACATTTCTCGTAGTCTATCAAAATTCAACCCAGATAATATATTTGAACATTCCGCATTTATATATATAATTCAGTTCAGAAAGTTCAATAAATGGCAAAAAGAGGTCAAATCTAATGACACAATCGACTTGAGAATGGTCCAAGACGGACCGAAAACGTCGGTCTTCACTTTCTAGTGTGTGGTTTGGTCAACAAAATATAATGAGGTTGATGAGGGTGTGTACTTAACAGAGGAGCTGTTGAGTACACTACAAGAGGTTAGTTTAGTTCATTTATTATGCACCCCATACCCAATTTGTGGGCGGTAGTGGAAAGGGTTACAGAGGCATATAATGGGCTCAGGGACTGAACCCCACAATTCATTTATGGGGTTCACTCCCTGAGCCCATTATGTGCCTCTGTACACTCAGTACCTCTTGTACACTACAAGAGGTACTGAGGATAACCTGTGTTCCAGTGGTCTTAGTACAAGTGTGTAACACATATTCAATATGGAGTTCACAATTCCTTCTTGGTTGAAGTATTTGTTAAATGCCAGCAAAGTAAACTGATGGCACAAGATGCCAACTAATGGAAAGCAATTCCATTACAGCAGTTGCAATGTTAATAGAATACAATACCAAGAAACAATCCCTGGAACACGACCATTTTAGTACTCAACACAGATAGACACGAGCCAAACAAAAACAACAAACTTCGTTTAGAGGTTCTTGAGATAGTAATAGGGAATGAACTAATATATAAACAAAGTATGTTAGTTTAAATTAAAGAATATGCACAACTCGACAAAATATAACCCCATCGGTACTGAAAAGTGTGGCCTTATTTGCATGCAAATACTCTACGTATTACATTTCTCATAATTTATATTCAAACCCCATTAATTATTTACAAGACAATATTTACACAGCTCCCTCACCTACCATTCCCTGTGTGTTTTTCTTCAATGTACAACACCAATAATAACATAATTCACCAATAAATTAATATCAGATAACCTATTTTTACACAATTCAGAGATTTTAATTTAAAATATACTGAGCTACTTCCTTTGGCACATATCAAAAATACCGTCTGAGGATGTATGCTTAATTTATTACACAATTTTCTTGATAATGTCATGGCATATAAGGATTCCTCTGAAGGATAAAAACATCCTCATACATGGAATCAAATGATACATAATATAATTCTATCTCTATGGAATACTATACATATATATATATATATATATAGAAATTTGACAACCACTGATAATATGGTTTTGTGACTAGATTTCATCAATATAAAGGGATATGATTCTGCTATAATACATTGTTACTAATTTCAGTAATTATCTTCAATTAGGATTTTACAAACTCAAAACCGGTTAAGTCATGATTGCTGCAGTCATAAATATGACAGTGTTTCAACTAATTACACTTCATGCTGGCCAAACAAAACTAAAAATATGATTTAAAAACTCTTTAGTAGTTACAGGCCATGAAGGCACCATGCATGAAAATGTCTTGGAAACCAAACTTTCCATGTCTTGGAAACCATAACTGCTTTATGATAGACTAGAGAGTGATATCTTTTTGCTATGATAACTGCAAACAATTTTTTTTTGGCTGCTTTCAGCTGCATCATAAAAGCTGCACAAATATCTAAAGGACGTGACAAAAGTCACCGAACATATACTCTATCAATTTGTAACTTTCATCTTTATCACAGATTCTTGTTAATGTGTTCAAAATATAAATACTGTACTATAATTCATTTCCTAATGGTTCAGTGCATTATTTACCAGTGTTCAATTTGCAGTAACAAAGCAAACCCACTGACACTGAATATTCAGAGTAGTTGCAAATGAGCACGTAATCCAACACACGGGCCATCTCCGAGACATTACGTCTCCGCTAAACTAGTCTGTCCCGAGATCATATAACGTCCAAGTGTTGGTACTGGTACTCCGGTCTTCCTGTAGATGTTGCAGGTGCTGGTGGACGCTGTGCAATGTAAACGGAGGCAGCTGTGGCCGGGTCCTGATATACTATAATGGGTTGAGCTACTTGGCCACCTCCTGCCATGGCTGACTGTGGTGGTATGTGGACCACACCACCTGCATACTGCAGCAAAGGGCCCTCGGGACCTACAGCATGACCGTGTGGTGCCCCTTGCTGGGTGTTGTGCATGCCAGGAACGTAACGTGGATGATGCGACGGTGGAGGCTGCATCTTGCCCTGACTCATAGGTGGTGGAGGCAATAAGGCACTCTCATTAGGCCCCGGCGGTGGAGGTGGTTTAGTAGTCTGCACCCTACGTACCATCACGGCAGCTACAACTACTAAAATGACACAAGCTGCAGAGGCCACTCCAACCACTAGCATTAAAGTGTTACCATCTGAAGACTCATCTGAGGAAACAAAAATTATATTTAAAATTGGCTACATAATGTTGTGTATGCAAATGGGAAATTTAATTACTCTAACCACAGTAATATAAATAGAACACAATCATCAGGAATGGTTACAAAAGGATTGCATGGAAACTGCAAAGAGGAGATACAATTAAAAAACTGCCATTATTGTTACATGAATGAATTCAACATTAGGAGCTGTACAGAATACATACCAAGCACAGACAAAAGTGCTTGTCTGTAAGCTAATCCAAAGTTGTTTGTAGCTGTGCATACGTAAACACCTGTGTCCTGTGCTGTCACACGTGGAATCACCAGCTGAAATTGTTGAATAACGGTTTTATCTCATTTTATATACAGTATATATATGTGTGCCTACTCTTGATAATCCTGAGTATATGGGGTCCACCCCCTCACAGTTAGACAGACATATGGATTAGCAGGAATTCTTGCCAGAAAGGCTAAAAACAAAACTTATTTGCAGATTTTAGTACCACAGCCAAAATAATTTACACGTTTAGAGGAGGATCTTCATATACAGTACTTGCAGTACTCAATTTAGATTTCAGTTTATATATATTTTTAGAGTTTGTTTACTTGATCAATGAAGGGCTTTAACAATGTTCATTTATTAATCTACACAACACTAAAATTACACTGTGTGACCCTCAACTGTTCAGGACCTCAATAAGCAATAGTGCCACATGAAAACATTTGTGATGAATTTAGATACAACAATTAAATTTGTTTTGTTTTGGTGTTTAATTTTTTTTGTGTTTCCTCATTTGTTAATAATTCACAATATGTACAAAATGGTGTTTCGGTTCATCTTTGTACCGGAACATCTTTGTAAATAGAACACAATCAATAGGAATGGTTAGAAAAGGATTGCATGGAAACTGCAAAGAGGAGATACAATTAAAAAACTGCCATTATTGTTACATGAATGAATTCAATATTAGGAGCCATACAGTATACATACCAAGCATAGACAAAAGTGCTTGTATGTAAGCTAATCCAAACTTGTTTGTAGCTGTGCCAGTATCTCATATACTTATCTAAGCCACTATCTCATCTTACCTTTGTGTAGAATGATCCATCACCTGGGGTAAGGACCTGGGTGGCTTGAAGAACAACATAACGGTGTCCCTTCCAGTTTAGTGTCTCATTGTCTGGGATGTGTTCAGCTAAGCTTGATCCGTCTTCGAGCCGACGAAGCCACTGTAGTATGGATAATTGAATTAATAGAAGCAAGTACCATAACAATTATTTTCCGTGCATATATAATGATAAAGTAAAAGATATAAAAATCTATATATACTTTGACCAACATACTTGGGGTGAGCAATGCCATTCACAATTAATCATAACACTGAGGCATACATATCACAAGTGAAGCAAATCTCAACAGCATTGTAATACAGTACTGTATTAAAAAAACTACATCTCTAAGTATTGAATCAAGTTCTTAGTGGCTCAATAATATTTACAAGACCCTGTTCACTACATATAATTCAATACATATTCATACAACATTGATTTTAAATGTTATTTCATTAGAACTAAAAGTATAACATACAAAAAGGCCATACTAAATATTACAAACATCTCTTTAATATCATGGATTTAATGCATACAATTTAACTACACTATATTCAGCCCTATAAATCATAGCTGGTCTTATTGAAGTTTTATTTTTTCATTTTGTCAAAGTACAGGCAGCCTGGGTATATATACAATACAGTACTGTATATATTTGGCTTATATTGAGGTATTCCTCCCCTACCCCAAAGGTCAAATGACTAACCTTTCCCAGGATGTAACCTCATAACAGCTGCCTAACTCCTAGGCAATTATTTACTGGCATGTGAACAGAGGCATTAGGGGAATGGAAATGTGCTCAATCATTTCTATCTAGTCCGGGATTCAAACCCGGGATTCCTGATTTTGGGTTTCTGCCCGAAGCACTATGCGTGTTAGTGGCTTTGCAAGAATGTAAAAATGCCAATCTTAATTAATCTCACAAACTCATTGTACCTTTTCGTAAATAAAAATTATTATTTTTATTACTGTATTATTATTATTACAGTACAGTATTATTTTTATTATTACGAGAATGATCCCAACTGTTCTACTGAGACCTATGCTAACATGTTTTCTATATCAAAAATCCATCAAATTCTTGCAAAAAACTGAGCACATCTTCCAGTTCCATCAACTGTATCTTTTTCCCTATGTTGGTTCATCCTCAACCCCAGAAATGGCGAGTCTGCTATTAACTCACTGCATGCCCTTGACTACCTCTGCTGCCTCCACTGGCCAAACCAATAATTAATAATAATAATAATAATACAGTAATTTTTATTTGCAAGAAGGTACAATGGGTTGGTGAGAATACATGAGATTGGTATTTTTATATTCGTGCGAAGCCACTATCACACACACAGCATTTCGAGGAGGTCCTTAATCTAACATACAGATCTAATAATAATAGTTTTATTTGCAGAGATTTGTTTTTTCCTAACTTGTCTAATAAGAGTGAGGCAATATGATGGAATCCAGCTTGCATCACTATACACCCCAGTCACACACTACCAACTCAACCATGATGAGCTTAAAAGTATCATCTATATTCCAAACAAGTCTATTCTATTGTGCCTAAGACTGTCATTCCCATTCTAATTCGCCAGGCAATCCTCGTATGTGCTGTCATGTTTTTGACACACTCTTCTTTTAGGTTTTACGCTATTCTTAACGTTTTGTTTGGTTCACACTAGTGTAATTACAGGATGAGAGCTATGCTAGTGGTCTTTCCAGTACTATGTCACGTAATGCATTAAAACTATTGATGCTTTTGGCCTCCACCACCTTCTTCCTTGGTCAAACTGTCTACCACTTTGCAAAAGAAAACTTTCTAACATTTTTTGGGCATGTTTGTTTCCTGAGCTTGTATGTATCACCTCTTGTTCTTGAGGTTGTCCATTTTAGGAATTCCTCTTTGTCAATTTGGTCAAATAATCTAAGTGTGTGTGTGTGCCTTTTTAGAATGTGTTTACTATGTGTGTGTAATAAACAGTGCTGCATTATTTACTTTTGTTCAGTTTTCCAGCATAAAACCTTATATTGTAGCTCATGGATTAAAAATACACATATCAAATAATATAACAATATTAAACTACAAATGCTAACAAATGAATAAACACAAAAAATCTGTGAATAAATTATAAAATAATCACATGTGGATCCTGCTTAACTCTCTTATTAGCAATGTGACCACTGACTAGATATAAAAACTAAATTGACTGCTGACTAGAATCGCAAAAAAACACACTGGAATCATCAATTTAAATACTGTACATCAAGATAAGTTAACTTGGCACTTACTTTAATGTGTGGAGTAACTTCAGAATTGCCACTGCACTGGAGAGTGGCTGAGCCCCCTAGAATGATGGTGGTGTTCGCTGGATCCATAGGGTTGAACTCTGGCTCCCTGGGCCGAGCTTGGTCTGGTAAAGAGATCATGTGTTAGCAATGAATATGCCTGTTGTGTAAGGCACACAGACCATACTGTGTAACACAATGTTATTTAACCACACACACACACAAAAAAATTCTTCTCTGAAGAACAAACCATACTGGACAAAATCTCAACAGATCTTGCATCATCTCCCTCAGTGGACAGTAATTACTTCATACACTCACAAATATTGGAAGATATTCTTGTGCTGTCCTCAGATTTTACTAGTGGGGGCTAATAGATCAGCCTAGCATTCCATGTTCTCTCCTGATTCCATGTATGACTAACCATCCCGTTAGATGGGGCTATTAGACGAACATATAGCTAGTTTTTGATCTACACTGTGCAATCATTCATATAGAATAGGGTAGCAGTACATTGCTGTGTATACCTAAGCTTGTTAATAATAATATATAAAACATATGTGCCTTGACGCAGTGAGTGGGCTCTTTAGCACCCCCTGCGGGTAGCAGGGGTTAAGTAAGTTATTATAAAAAAATGTAGCCAAAATGTAGGACAGACCACAGCAGATGCTTTTTTACCCATAGGGCTGTAAACTCGTGGAACTGCCTACCCGCTGAAGCTGTAAACGCCAAAACTCTGCTGGGTTTTAAAATACAGCTAGAAAAGATTATCATGGCAAATGGTGGGGGACCTTTGACAAGCTGCCGGCTTCCTGTCCTCATCGAGGCCACTAGTATTAGTGGCTCTCAGGTAAATTCAGGTAAAACAAAGTACCAAGCCGATAGAAGGGGGGTTAGCTCCTGCCTGCTGTGGCAATGCTATGTTCCCATGCCTTAGCCGTGCAAGAGATCCGTACATGCCTTGATATATTTATTGGTATGCAAAGTATACATTGAGTTTGTGAGTGTACAAAACATTGGTGGTGTTACATTCTTGCCAAGCCACTAACAAGCATAGCGTTTCATGCAGGTCCTTAATCTAATGGATAAGGGCACGATTATTATAAATGTTTATTCAGGTAAAAGTACATACATTCAAAAGGAGTTAGAAACACAATGTTGGAGGTTTAGATAGAAGTACATACTATGCTTAAAGCCATTAATACGCACAGCCAAGATGTGGGAAGAACACTTAAAACTAATAGGTGCATTGCAGCAAAACTTTGACTTCAACATAATAACTACACTATAAATTGATGGTGAATGATTACCTGACAATGTAACTACACTGAAGAAGTTGAATGTCATAAGTACTAATATTGGGAGGAGTGGGAAGCACAAAATGCTGTGCGAGTTTGAAGCACAAGGTAGGAAGCTAAGAGGATGAAATTAGGTGCTTTTTGGTTTTAACAAACTGTGTCGCAGATATGAGATTCAAGGAGGTGGGATATGAGATTCAAGGAGGTGGGATATGAGATTCAAGGTGGGATATGAGATTCAAGGGGATATATGAGAACAAGGGGCTATATGAGCAGGTGGGATATGAGGACAAGGGGATATATGAGCAGGTGGGACATGAGGACAAGGGGATATATGAGCAAGTGGGACATGAGGACAAGGGGATATATGAGCAGGTGGGACATGAGGACAAGGGGATATATGAGCAGGTGGGACATGAGGACAAGGGGATATATGAGCAGGTGGGACATGAGGACAAGGGAATATATGAGCAGGTGGGACATGAGGACAAGGGAATATATAAGCAGGTGGGACATGAGGACAAGGGAATATATGAGCAGGTGGGACATGAGGACAAGGGAATATATGAGCAGGTGGGACATGAGGACAAGGGGATATATGAGCAGGTGGGACAAGAGGACAAGGGAATATATGAGCAGGTGGGACATGAGGACAAGGGAATATATGAGCAGGTGGGACATGAGGACAAGGGGACCAGCAGTCAATTTCCAACTCTCACAACCACAGGCCTCGCTACTAAGGAGCAGACAGCAGATATAGCCTCTCCTGGCCTCATCTGCTGTGCTGTCTGTCACACGCGTTCGAGCCCCCCCCCCCCCCCCACAGCTTCGTTCAAACCAGACCTGGGCGGTGGGGCATATATATATGCCATATACTACATACTATAGAGTATAGCTAGACTCCGCCTGCATCACGTATTGAACATCTTCGTCTCAACCTATCACGAGGACACCACTGTGCCAATTCTAACATACCACTGCTGAAACCCAAGCTGTATTAAGTAAACATTAAAAACCACCCTCCTCTTTGGGTACTGTCAACTAAAATCATATATGTTACATCAGCTTTAAACAATAATCAAGAGGTACAAAAAAAAATTCTTGACAAGTTACAAAAATCATGAAACATTGAATAAGCTTATTTACATAATGGTGGGTATTTTGTGTTGCTATATACAGTCTTGAAAATATACAGTATAGTTTGTTAGTGGAGATTCTTATGTTATAATTAGCCGGAAATGGAGTGAAGAGGGAGGGGGTGGGGGGGAAGGGAGGCTGGGTGTGCATTTACTATTTGTCACTACAGGATCAGAATTGTTAGCTCTTGGACCCCGCCTTTCTAACGGTTGGTTGCCTCGTGTACTGACTGATCAGACCTATGTCTCTACTATCATGTCTACTATACACTTCTCTCGAACCCTGACAACCCGCTGCCTATATATATTGCTAGGTGAACAGTGGCATTAGGTGAATAAACTCTACCTAGTGTTTCTGCCTCGACCGGGAATCGAAACCGGGCCCTTAGGACTACGACCCCAGAATGGGTGGAGGACAGACATATGTGGATGTGGGCCAGACAGGTGTGTGTTTGGGAAGAGAGGGCTGCCAGATGTGTGTGACTGGTGCCAGACGTGTGTGACTGGCACCAGACATGTGTGACTGGTGCCAGACATGTGAGTGGCACCAGACATGTGTGACTGGCGCCAGACATGTGTGACTGGCACCAGACGTGTGAGTGGCACCAGACATGTGTGACTGGTGCCAGACATGTGAGTGGCACCAGACATGTGTGACTGGTGCCAGACATGTGTGACTGGCACCAGACGTGTGAGTGGCACCAGACATGTGAGTGGCACCAGACATGTGTGACTGGCGCCAGACATGTGTGACTGGTGCCAGACATGTGTGACTGGCACCAGACATGTGTGACTGGCACCAGACATGTGTGACTGGCACCAGACATGTGTGACTGGTGCCAGACATGTGTGACTGGCACCAGACATGTGTGACTGGCACCAGACATGTGTGACTGGTGCCAGACATGTGTGACTGGTGCCAGACATGTGTGACTGGCACCAGACATGTGTGACTGGTGCCAGACATGTGTGACTGGTGCCAGACATGTGTGACTGGTGCCAGACATGTGTGACTGGTGCCAGACATGTGTGACTGGTGCCAGACATGTGTGACTGGCACCAGACATGTGTGACTGGTGCCAGACATGTGTGACTGGCACCAGACATGTGTGACTGGCACCAGCCATGTGTGACTGGCGCCAGACATGTGTGACTGGCACCAGACATGTGTGACTGGCACCAGACGTGTGAGTGGCACCAGACATGTGAGTGGCACCAGACATGTGTGACTGGCGCCAGACATGTGTGACTGGTGCCAGACATGTGTGACTGGCACCAGACATGTGTGACTGGTGCCAGACATGTGTGACTGGCACCAGACATGTGTGACTGGCACCAGACATGTGTGACTGGCACCAGACATGTGTGACTGGCACCAGACATGTGTGACTGGCACCAGACATGTGTGACTGGTGCCAGACATGTGTGACTGGCACCAGACATGTGTGACTGGTGCCAGACATGTGTGACTGGCACCAGACATGTGTGACTGGCACCAGACATGTGTGACTGGTGCCAGACATGTGTGACTGGTGCCAGACATGTGTGACTGGCACCAGACATGTGTGACTGGTGCCAGACATGTGTGACTGACACCAGCCATGTGTGACTGGCACCAGCCATGTGTGACTGGCACCAGACATGTGTGACTGGCGCCAGACATGTGTGACTGGCACCAGACATGTGTGACTGGCACCAGACATGTGTGACTGGCACCAGACATGTGTGACTGGCACCAGCCATGTGTGACTGGCACAAGCCATGTGTGACTGGCGCCAGACATGTGTGACTGGCGCCAGACATGTGTGACTGGTGCCAGACATGTGTGACTGGCACCAGACATGTGTGACTGGCACCAGACATGTGTGACTGGTGCCAGACATGTGTGACTGGTGCCAGACATGTGTGACTGGCACCAGACATGTGTGACTGGCACCAGCCATGTGTGACTGGCACCAGCCATGTGTGACTGGCACCAGCCATGTGTGACTGGCGCCAGACATAGCGAAACAAGACACGAGAGGACCCACCTATGACCCTGAGCGTCCAGTTGGCGGCTGCGGCGCCGAACTGATTAGCGGCGGCGCAGGTGTAGGTGCCAGCGTCGGCGGGCCTCAGCTCCAGCAGGTGCAGGTAGTGACGGGTCAGACGCGACTCTCCTCCGAGAGATCCCTCCCGGAGCTCCACACCGTCCTGAGGAACAAGCGACAGTTACTGACTGTGAAGTGGTCATTAGTGGCATAGAGGGAAGGGGGAGTAGTTAGTGGCAAGTAGTTATACAAGTGCTGTTAACCCCAGGCAGCCTCATATAGGTAATTACGGTGGTTAGTGATTACCTGCTAGTGCTGTCTGGTTTGTTGTGTAGTTACTCGATTATATTTACCCTAGTGGGCTCGACGAGGACAGGAAGCCGGCGGCTTGTCGTAGGTCCTCCGTTTTGCCATAGTGGATGTCTTTGAATATGTAATCAGATTCAATTACCTGACCCTCAAGGTACTTCTGTATGGCTAGGCTGTAGCCAAGCTTACTAGGACCTGACTGATTAGACTGCCAGACTGACTGACTCGAATCTCAGGACTTACTAGGACCTGACTGATTAGACTGAACCATTCGACTGTCTGACTGGTAGACTGTGGTAGACTGAAGCCTCCCTCGCCAGTAAATAATCCATAATGATTAACCGAATGAGCTTCCTGTCGTTAATCATGTCCTCCTGTCTGGCGCCCTTCTACGCCCACGCCATCCATCTCTCTCTGGTTTGATTCATTATTATAATTATTGGGCGTTTTGAAGGCTTGAATGACGCGTTATTGCCACAGTGGAGCAGTGGTCCTCCACCTGGTCTTCTGCTAGGCTTCCCGCTCGGCTTCACCAGCCTGTGGGACCTTCTCGCTCGGCTTTACCAGCCTGTGGGACCTTCTCGCTCGGCTTCACCAGCCTGTGGGGCCTTCCCGCTCGGCTTCACCAGCCTGTGGGGACCTTCCCGCTCGGCTTCACCAGCCTGTGGGACCTTCCCGCCCGGTTTCACCAGCCTGTGGGACCTTCCCGCTCGGTTTCACCAGCCTGTGGGACCTTCCCGCCCGGCTTCACCAGCCTGGGGCCGCCCGCTGGGTTTCCCGCCATAAACAACAATGGCGCGGACAGCTTCGCGCGCCAAAAAAAATTATCCACCATCCGCGGAGATGAAACAATGATTAATACCATCACAGGTTTAAATCCAGACCATGTATATCACCTACGTATACTCGGTATACATAGCGAATACAGCAGTATACAGTGCAGGTGTTTATACTCCGTTGTCAGAATACCTGTAGGCAGAATTAAATATTCAAGATCTATATACTCTGGGCAGATGTATTGTTACTTTGTAAAACAACTACAGTAGACTTATGACAACTACGTCACTGTATTTTGGGGGTATACCTTTTACCATACAGTTGTATTATTTGTCATTAACCGTTACACATTAGACTGTAATATATATAGCATCTTAAATAATACATTAAATAATAAGTATGCGGCCCCAATGTTGCAAATGCAATGCACGCGCGTGAGGAAAGGCTGCGGGAAACACCACGACACTGGAAGACACACACACCACAAAACAGGGGATCGATCAAGGAATCTGTACACCAGGTTGATTGACAGTTGAGAGTGCAGAGGACCAAAGAGCCTAGGAAGTGAAACTCATACACAGTTTCCCCAGTAGGCAAGTACACAAATAGGTGAGTACACACAAACACAGGGTTAAAAACACAGTAAACCAGTCCTCTAAGTTTGCCACTTAAGACGATAACCATTTAAGGATTCATGTTAATATCGTAAATTTGAGCTGGTAACACTTTCTTCATCCCCAGGAGAGTTGTTTGGGCTCCAGCGTAATGGGGTGGGTGTGTGGCCGCCCACTGTGGGAGGAGGAGCCGGCCTCTTCCTAACTGTGGCCGCCCACTGTGGGAGGAGGAGCCGGCCTCTTCCTAACTGTGGCCGCCCACTGTGGGAGGTGGAGGCGGCCTCTTCCTAACTGTGGCCGCCCACTGTGGGAGGAGGAGCCGGCCTCTTCCTAACTGTGGCCGCCCACCGTGGGAGGTGGAGGCGGCCTCTTCCTAACTGTGGCCGCCCACTGTGGGAGGTGGAGGCGGCCTCTTCCTAACTGTGGCCGCCCACTGTGGGAGGTGGAGGCGGCCTCTTCCTAACTATGGCCGCCCACCGTGGGAGGAGGTGGAAGCCTAGTCCACAACAACTAGTCCTCCCACCGTAAACAATCTCCCATGCTCTCAACTGCTCTGCCAGCAGGGATCCCGTGTATATAACAACATTATTATATGACCAAAGTTCCCATTAAGGAGTGCGATGCCTTAGATAATTAGATGATATCTTTGTCCAATACAGAGCAGGATATCATACCTCCTTACAGAGCAGGATTTTAGGTATGGATTATCTGTTTTGAGTTTATAGAAGTAAGTAATTATCAAAAAGAAGGCACCAAACCGGGAAGGCTATGTAGCACCATCAAATGTGCGGGATAATCAGAGGGCGCGAAATATCACCAAGGATGCCAATACGAGAACAAAAACGCATAAGGCGAACGATATCAAAAGTATCCGATTCACCAAGAATTCTATCGAGGGACAAGTGACCGCGGGGGACGGTCGGAAAGCAAGACATACGCTCGTCCTGGAAGTCAGGACATTCAACAAGGATATGCACGACCGTAAGAGGGTCAACGCAATTTGAACAATAAGGAGCTGAGCGGCGCTCCATTAAGTGACAGTGAGTTAAGCGAGTATAGCCAAGACGCAACCACGCTAGAGCTGTTTCCCACCGCTACGGGGGCAGGAGGAAGGCTACGGGGACACACAACGCTTAAGAGTACGCAGTTTGTTACCAACAACCCTGTCAACGGGCAAGGATAGAGGAATGAATAACCAGATAAAAGTTGGAAAAAGGAATACTTTTGCGGGAAATGGGACAAGAGCGGATAGCCTCCCTAGTGGCAGCATCGGCACGCTCATTTAAAGAAGCACCAACATGGCTGGGAACCCAGCAAAACTCCACGGATTTAAATTTACTAGAGATAAGAAACAGCCATTGTTGAATCTCGACGACAACAGGATGGACGGGATTAAAGGACCCTAAAGCCATGAGGGCACTACGAGAGTCAACGACAACCACAAAGGAGGATTGACAACAAGAAAGCAGGAGACGAAGAGCATAGAGAATAGCATAAAGCTCTGCTGTGAAGATGCTAGTCTCTGGAGGTAAGCGACACATATAAGTGCTGTCAGGAAAAACATCAGAGTAGCCCACACCGTCAGCAGACTTAGACCCATCGGCGGAGACGGAAACGGAGTGGGAGTGTGAAGAAAAGTGCTCAAGGATAAGGCGTTTCAGAACCGTAGGAGTAAAAGCTTTAGTAATGTGGGGTCAAGGATGTACAAAACTTCGGAAGGGGGACTCTCCACGGAAGGGGGGCAAGGAAGGAACAATACGAGGAGAAATATGAGAAAGACGAATGGAAAGAGAGACCTGTAAGCGAGATAGCCAGACAGAAAGAGGGAGGTGGTGAAGAGGAACAGGAACCACAGGAGGGGTAAAAGTCAAAGCACGACAGAGGCGAGAGGAAGGCTGTTGTAAGGACCGCGCCAGATAGCAAAAGACAGTAGCGATCACGGGGGTCCTGGAGAGACAGGAAGCCAGTGTCAACATACAAGCTGAGGACGGGAGTCGAACGAAAGGCACCAGAACTGAGGCGCAACCCAGCATGGTGCAAAGCATCAAGACGGCGAAGAGTAGAAGGAGAAGTGGACGAGTAAGCAGGGCAACTATAATTGAGTTTTGACAGGACGAGTGAGGAATGTAGAGAGAGGAGCGTAAGCCTATCCGCCCCCCAAGAAGTATGGGACAAAACCTTAAGGAGGGAAAGGGCCTTAGAGCATTCAGCGCGGAGGTAAGAAATATGGGCTGACCAAGACAAACGGGTGTCAAAGATTAACCCCCCGTATCAACGTACCCTGGCTTTGCACCCTGGAGAGGCGGGGGGGGGGGACCTGCTGCATGGGTAACAGCTTCTCCCCCCCGTATCAACCTACCCTGGCTTTGCCCCCTGGAGAGGCCACTCCAGACCGACAACCAGAGCCCAACTCCATAGTCTCCTGAGACTGATGGCTGCCTACCACTAACCCAACCTGTCATCTTACACAGAACGTCGCTTTCCGCTCGTATGCGTTACCTAAGGCCAAAAATTATCGTACTTGAACATGGAACCGGCTGGCGAGAGTGACGTACTGCCCCGTTTTCTGTTTTGGGTCCTCTGGTGGGGTAGGAGAGACCACTTTAAACCGTCCGTTTTCTTGACGTTGGGAAACCTTTAAGAGGACAGACGACTCCATATGTGATCCTGCCTACATACGTGTGTTCTTTTCTTAATGCCACTCTTGCCATTTTACATATTTACGAAAAAGGCGACGTGAAATGAAGTATAGAATATACCTCATAACGATAAAAGGCTTCAATGAAGCACACCACGAAACCACTATATATATATATATATATGTTTCATTGAATATGACCGCATATTCTGTATTTATTATTTTCTGGTTTAGGGCTTCTATCCCTCTAACTATTTTCTTAGCATCAGGGCTTAATTGAAATAGGAGTTCTCCAAAACTCATTTTCGTACTTTTAAGGTGAAGAAAAGAAGTGATTTACTATAGAGTGTATTACACTTATTTGTATAATTTGCACGACGTTTCGAACCTCCATGGTTCATTCTCAAGTGAACAGATCTTACAATACTAGTTGATTTTATACCCGCATTAGGTCAGGTGATAATACAATGAAGGTGAAAAACATGGGGGGATACATAAGGGATAAACATAGGGGCTGCAGAAGGCTTATTGGCCCATACAAGGCATCTCCTATCTAAACACAAAGATTAATCCAGTGTAATTGGCCAATTACACTGGATTAATCTTTGTGTTTAGATAGGAGATGCCTTGTATGGGCCAATAAGCCTTCTGCAGCCCCTATGTTTATCCCTTATGTATCCCCCCATGTTTTTCACCTTCATTGTATTATCACCTGACCTAATGCGGGTATAAAATCAACTAGTATTGTAAGATCTGTTCACTTGAGAATGAACCATGGAGGTTCGAAACGTCGTGCAAATTATACAAATAAGTGTAATACACTCTATAGTAAATCACTTCTTTTCTTCACCTTAAAAGTACGAAAATGAGTTTTGGAGAACTCCTATTCCAATTAAGCCCTGATGCTAAGAAATAGTTAGAGGGATAGAAGCCCTAAACCAGAAAATAATAAATACAGAATATGCGGTCATATTCAATGAAACATGTTTGAAAGAAAACCTGCTGCCAGTATACACCATATATATATATATATATATATATATATATATATATATATATATATATATATATATATATATATATATATATATATATATATATACAAATCTATCATAGCGTTTTTGGTCCCCTCACGAGCGCCATCTTGACTGCCTAACCAGCGGCTTTGCTAAAGCAATATAAAACACCTCTCAACTTTAAATAAATCTTCTCTAAGCTGGAAAATTGCTCTATGCAATCCAATTTCCCTGCGAGTTGCACCAGAGTGGCCCCCCCCCCCTCTCTCTGGCCCCCCCTCTCTCCTAGCTCACAGGGTGAGCTAGGAATCACAGGATGAGCTAGGAGTCATACTCTGCTATCTCCTCTCCCTTCAGATATCAGGAAGGGTTCTCATAATAATGCACTATATTAGTATTGTTGATAGCGAGGGCACTGATATTACTGATAGTGAGGGCACTGATATTACTGATAGTGAGGGCACTGATATTACTGATAGTGAGGGCACTGATATTACTGATAGCGAGGGCACTGATATTATTGATAGCGAGAGCAATGGTATGATATCCGACGGCCCAGACTCAAGTAAAACTTGGAGATAAAGATGGTGAGATAGTATCATTTAGACACTATCAAAGCACCCAATAAACGTACACCATTAAATGAACAAATCCACAAGGGCCGTGATGAGGGTTCGAACCTAATTCGAAGTACACCATTAAGATTGATATCATACCTGTTTGATATCAATGGCTTCCAATCCTTACATAAGGGTAATTGTGCCTTTCTTAATTAAGAACATTACTCCATCAGCGATCATTCATTCTGCGGCTGCACCCAACAGTCTGTTAGATCAGACTGTCATTCAGGGAATTACCTCAAGGAACAACGCTATATTTATGAAATAGTGGACAGAGTATATGAAGGCTCTGCCACACAACTGACTCCATCTTGTTGACCAGACCACACACTAGAAAGTGAAGAGACGACGTTTCGGTCCGTCCTGGACCATTCTCCAGTCGATTGACTTGATCGACTTGACTCCATCTTCATCCTGCTTGGAGGGGTGAAGATGGATGATGGGATGGGATGGGTAGGGGGCTGATAGCTATGGTTTAAGATAGAGGGGTTAGCAGGTATGGCAGACTATGGCACACGGGCGGAAGTGCCATATAGTTTGCCTGCGGCAGTTTCCCGCTGGTAATCCAACCATTTGTATTCATGACTGAACAAATAACACAGAATTTTGTTGCAGAAATTACTAGAGGGGGGTTAGTAATTTTCTCTCTCTCTCTCTCTCTCTCTCTCTCTCTCTCTCTCTCTCTCTCTCTCTCTCTCTCTCTCTCTCTCTCTCTCTCTCTCTCTCTCTCTCTCTTTCTCTCTCACACAATATCACCCACGACTACAAAAAAACTCAGCATGATAAATGACACTGTTATCATGTTTCTCTCCAGAGGTTATTTTCGAGGTTATCTTATCTGTTCGGTATCTGACACCCCCCACAGTGGTGTCCACAGCCTCTGACACCACCCACAGATGGCACCTACCATATGACACAAGTGGCAGACCTTCACCTACCTTGAACCAAGTGACAGTCGGCTCTGGCACTCCAGTCACTTGACACTTGAGCTTGACATTGTGGCCCACTGGCTTGTCGATCTTGCCAGGCACCGGGGGCAAGAGCTGCGTCAAGGCCAACGTCGCCAGAACGTCACAGCCAACGTCGCCAGAACGTCACAGCCAACGTCGCCAGAACGTCACAGCCAACGTCGCCAGAACGTCACAGCCACGTCACCATCAAAGTCGAACAGACATAGAACAAAAAAAAATCCAATTTAGAAACGCAAATTTGATAAAATAAAACATGTGAATATTATATTCTAATTTAAAGACTCTAAGAGACAGTATTAATGAACCTGTCCCCCAAAGATGACAGAAACTAACGCAAGTTACAGGTATCAAGGTATCAGGTATCAAGATATCATGTATCAAGATATCGGGTATCAAGATATCAGGTATCAAGATATCAGGTATCAAGATATCAGGTATCAAGATATCATGTATCAAGATATCAGGTATCAAGATATCGGGTATCAATATATCAGGTATCAAGATATCAGGTATCAAGATATCAGGTATCAAGATATCATGTATCAAGATATCGGGTATCAAGATATCAGGTATCAAGATATCAGGTATCAAGATATCATGTATCAAGATATCAGGTATCAAGATATCGGGTATCAATATATCAGGTATCAAGATATCAGGTATCACGTTATCAGGTATCAAGATATCAGGTATCAAGATATCAGGTATCAAGATATCAGGTATCAAGATATCAGGTATCAAGATATCAGGTATCAAGATATCAGGTATCAAGTATGGACGAAAATACAAAATATTAATATGTAATTAAAAATTATTCCACGTTTTTTTTTTATTTTTTTTAGAGATCCTGATTAAACAAGCAATTAAGAACCTAACCCAATTTTTGCTAGCAGTATAGTACATATATGTATTAGACTAGGCCTACGATACCTTATTTAAGCCTATGGGAGATTTATACTTATAACTAGGCTGCTTCACACTTCCTGTCATGGTCATCAGAATAGCAAACTATGGTTTGACGGGTCGAACAGTCCACATATATGCAGACGAGGAGTCACAATAACATGGCTGAAATATGTTGACCAAACCACATACACTAGACAGTGAAGGGACGACGACGTTTCGACCCGTCCCGAACCATTCTAAAATCGATTGAGACCATTCTCCAGTCCCAATCGACTTGAGAATGGTCCAGGACGGACCGAAACGTCGTCGTCCCTTCACCTTCTAGTGTGTGGTCTGGTCAACAGTCCATATATCATACACGTTCCGACCCGAGTCCCTATACTCAGCTTCCATCAAATCTGGAAAAGGCGTTGACATGGGGTGTCTCACCTGAGTGAATTCTGGCGCCAATCCGCCGGGCCCCACAGCTGATGAAGAAGACCCAGGTCCTGCCAAGGGATCTGTGGATATTCACGTACCTCAATACTCACTATACTCACTATACTCACTATACTCATTATACTCACTATTCTAATACACAATTTCCGCCCCTTATAACTCCATTTACATGGCACATATATAGCATATATATACATATAGGATATAATTGTATTATATAGGTCTTATAATTGTTTATATAGGACTAATAATTGTAATGATTTATAATTGTATTATACAGCACTTATAATTGTATCATATAGGACATAATTGTATTATATAAGACATAATTCTATTTGCATGGAACATATAATTGTATTAAACACGTATAATTGTATTATACAGGACTTATTATAGTATTATATTAGCACTTATAACTGTATTATACAGGACTTATAATAGTAATATATATATAGCACTTATAAATGTAATTACGAATCGTTACTAATGTTGACAACGTAATGTTTAGAGACCAATGAGACAAATGATGTAGTTACATATTTAATTACTGAATTTTTTGTTCATTTGTAAATTGGAAAAATTCTTTAATAGCAATTCTCATTTTTTTTATTATAATTATTAAAACATTTATTGAATCTATTTGCGTTCCAGAAACATCCCAACTCACCCCCCCCCTTTCTCCCGACCCCCAGCAACTGTCCTACACCCACACACAGACCCCAGCAACTGTCCTACACCCACACACAGACCCCAGCAACTGTTCTACACCCACACACAGACCCCAGCAACTGTCCTACACCCACACACAGACCCCAGCAACTGTTCTACACCCACACACAGACCCCAACAGTCTCCTACACCCACACACAGACCCCAGCAACTGTCCTACACCCACACACAGACCCCAGCAGTCTCCTACACCCACACACAGACCCCAGCAACTGTCCTACACCCAGACACAGACCCCAGCAACTGTCCTACACCCACACACAGACCCCAGCAACACCCACACACAGACCCCAGCAGTCTCCTACACCCACACACAGACCCCAGCAACTGTCCTACACCCAGACACAGACCCCAGCAACTGTCCTACACCCACACACAGACCCCAGCAACTGTTCTACACCCACACACAGACCCCAGCAACTGTCCTACACCCACACACAGACCCCAGCAGTCTCCTACACCCACACACAGACCCCAGCAAGTGTTCTACACCCACACACAGACCCCAGCAACTGTCCTACACCCACACACGGACCCCAGCAACTGTCCTACACCCACACGCAGACCCCAGCAACTGTTCTACACCCACACACAGACCCCAGCAACTGTTCTACACCCACACACAGACCCCAGCAACTGTTCTACACCTACACACAGACCCCAGCAACTGTTCTACACCCACACACAGACCCCAGCAACTGTCCTACACCCACACACAGACCCCAGCAACTGTCCTACACCCACACACAGACCCCAGCAACTGTTCTACACCCACACACAGACCCTAGCAAGTGTTCTACACCCACACACAGACCCCAGCAACTGTTCTACACCCACACACAGACCCCAGCAACTGTCCTACACCCACAAACAGACCCCAGCAACTGTCCTACACCCACAAACAGACCCCAGCAACTGTCCTACACCCACAAACAGACCCCAGCAACTGTTCTACACCCACACACAGACCCCAGCAACTGTTCTACACCCAGACACAGACCCCAACAGTCTCCTACACCCACACACAGACCCCAGCAAGTGTTCTACACCCACACACAGACCCCAGCAACTGTCCTACACCCACACACGGACCCCAGCAACTGTCCTACACCCTTACACAGACCCCAGCAACTGTTCTACACCCACACACAGACCCCAGCAACTGTCCTACACCCATACACAGACCCCAGCAACTGTTCTACACCCACACACAGACCCCAGCAACTGTCCTACACCCACACACAGACCCCAGCAACTGTCCTACACCCACACACAGACCCCAGCAACTGTTCTACACCCACACACAGACCCCAGCAGTCTCCTACACCCACACACAGACCCCAGCAACTGTCTACACCCACACACAGACCCCAGCAACTGTCCTACACCCACACACAGACCCCAACAGTGTCCTACACCCACACACAGACCCCAACAGTCTCCTACACCCACACACAGACCCCAGCAACTGTCTACACCCACACACAGACCCCAACAGTCTCCTACACCCACACACAGACCCCAGCAACTGTCCTACACCCACACACAGACCCCAGCAACTGTCCTACACCCACACACAGACCCCAGCAACTGTTCTACACCCACACACAGACCCCAGCAGTCTCCTACACCCACACACAGACCCCAGCAACTGTCTACACCCACACACAGACCCCAACAGTCTCCTACACCCACAAACAGACCCCAGCAACTGTCCTACACCCACACACAGACCCCAGCAACTGTCCTACACCCACACACAGACTCCAGCAACTGTCTACACCCACACACAGACCCCAGCAACTGTTCTACACCCACACACAGACCCCAGCAGAGCTCAGTACACCCACACACAGACCCCAGCAGGGCTCCGTACACCCACACACAGACCCCAGCAGTCTCCTACACCCACACACAGACCCCAGCAACTGTCCTACATCCACACACAGACCCCAGCAACTGTCTACACCCACACACAGACCCCAACAGTGTCCTACACCCACACACAGACCCCAACAGTCTCCTACACCCACACACAGACCCCAGCAACTGTCCTACACCCAGACACAGACCCCAGCAGGGGCTCAGTACACCCTCTCCTCCTCCTCCTCCTCCTCCTCAGCTTCTTAATATCAGGTCCTGTCGGAAGAAATGTTTTGGGAGTTAATGAATTATGTAAATGAGACAGGCAGGGGCATGTATTGGCTCTCCTTCCTCACTACTTCTTTCTCCTCCTCCCTCTCCCTCTTCTCCTACCTCTTCTTCCTCTTCTATTTGACCTCTTCTTGCCCTTCGTCTCTCCACCTCCCATTCGCACCCAAATATCTCCCACTTGCACGAAGATAAACGTAAAAATGTGCAATTGAATGCTCCTTGGGCATTCTAGATCTTGGTAACTAACTTTAAATAGCGTTTATTGTAGTGAAAAGTAATAGTGAGGTTGTTAGATGTGCTTACTGGTTTCTAAGGGCGGGCTTCGTGTGAGTTGATGTTGGATAACGTCCCTTAGGTGGTGGTTTAAATTTGGAGTTTATTAGTGATATTGGTATGGAATTGTGGTCTTTGTTTAGAGGGGGAGAGAGAGAGAGAGAGAGAGAGAGAGAGAGAGAGAGAGAGAGAGAGAGAGAGAGAGAGAGAGAGAGAGAGAGAGAGAGAGAGAGAGAGAGAGAGAGACAGAGAGAAAACAGAGACAACTAACTCGAGGGAGCTATAACTCTCCTAAACTATTTACCCTAAAGTTAGGTCCTAAGTGAGAATATTATCCTTAATAACCCAACTACTTAAACCATCAGCATATAATCACAATCTGCATACATTACTAAGTAACTGAGCCTTATTAAATAAAAGTATCATTCATATTTAAGCAACGCAAAATAATCAATGTTAAAAAAAAACGCAAAAATCTCTGAAGAAAATAATTAATTCTGACCAAGTTATCTTTTGTCGCCGAAATATTTATAACATTATGAACTTCACAGTAAATTATTTACAGCAGAGAATGCCTTAAGGATGGAAATCAGACGCCCAGGGTCTGCCTCACCTGGCTATGGAAGATGACACATGGGTGGTATGGAACTATCATAGGACCGTACACATAGTTGACCCCAAGTTGACCTCCCTTGTGAGAAGGATCAGCCCCTATTCCCCGACTCTCAAGAAGTCTAGAGTTGAGAGATTTGCAACAGTTTTCCAGCTGTTTGCAATATTGCTTACAAACATAAACACGGGCTATGGTAAGCCCGTAATTGAGTTCGGTTATTCGCGATAACCTTGTTACTCTGATATTTGGGTCAAAGTTTGAAATGGAGGTGGGGTTTCCTCCTTTTTCCCGGTTACTTTTTCGCTTCTGCTTTAGTCTCGATGTTATTATGATTAAACTGTGCTTTTAAAGAGCGGGTTTGATGGGAAAACTCCCATCACCTAGACCCACAGTGTACGCTACTGACTGGAAATTTTGGATAGGCCTACCAGCTCGCTGGCTCCATAGGCCTATATAACGAGCCCAACCACACTCCAGGTGGTGTAGCCTCCAGCACAGCGTGGCTACATGGGTATGCCATGCGCCGGGGGAGACGCACGACGCTGGTTCGATGCTCCAAACATCCAAGACTCTCTCTATTGGTCAGGAATCATGACTGTCAATTACACCAGTCTCACTGTACAGTCATTATGACTGTATTCAAACCTAGAACGCGTGTCCTTAATAAGTACAACCCGCCATTCTCTCCAGTCTTGGGATCCAATCTCCTGATACAGAATCGAATTCTTTAAATTGAATCTCTTGATAAGGACCCCAATCACTTGAGACAAGATACAGCTCCTTAAAACACGATCTAATCTCTTAACTCGGACCTTGACTGTCTATATATATATATATATATATATATATATATATATATATATATATATATATATATATATATATATATATATATATATATATATATATATATATATATATATATATATATAGTCAACATTGCAGAGTTCACAGTTCACCAGCACTATTACACCAAACTGTGCAGTAACCTTAACTATTGCAAGGATAAGACAACGTTGCAAGGGTGAGGGTGAGAGATTGCAAAGGGTGAGGGAAGAGAGAGAGAGAGAGAGAGAGAGAGAGAGAGAGAGAGAGAGAGAGAGAGAGAGAGAGAGAGAGAGAGAGAGAGAGAGAGAGAGAGAGAGAGAGAGAGAGAGAGAGGAGAGAGAGAAACAGAATTAAACGAAATCAAGGAGAAGACGAGTGGAAGAGGGAGAGAGGCGATAAAGAGGGTGATAAAAGTCTTAGCTGCTTATTTATCGTCCTCAGAACTATCATCAATGGTCTGACTTCTCTTGCTTGGAAGGTTGATGCGTTCCAATCTAGTGTGATTGGACTGGTCAGAAGATCAGAACCTCCAACACCGCAGAGGTGTCAAAGGTCAATGTTCTGGCCCCCAACTTCGTGGATTACCAGAGGTTGGAAGCCATAACTCAAGGCGCTCAGCCACAACTCAAGCCGCTCAGTCATTAATAGCCTCGTGCTGACTGTGGTATTGTTAAGACTCATCAGTGATTATTGCTTCTCAGGTCGACCTGAATCTGGATCGTGAAGATAATTTGGAAAGCAAGTTTCTCTCTCTGTCTCTGTCTGTCTGGCTGTCTCTCTCTCTCTCTCTCTCTCTCTCTCTCTCTCTCTCTCTCTCTCTCTCTCTCTCTCTCTCTCTCTCTCTCTCTCTCTCTCTCTCTCTCTCTCTCTCACAACACTTGAGTCCTAGCCTAACCTTCACGTCTTGCTTCGTTACCTCCTCCTCCTCCTCCTTCTCTCTCTCCTCCAAAACACTTCAAGTGTGTATCTCATTATTTCTGGGACGCGTGTAAGGACGTCAATATTTACTAGGTATTCTCTCACTTCCCTCTCACTTCTCTCACTTCAAGAGAGACTAAGCTCAGTGTGTAACCATCACTGTAACTACCACCCCCCCCCCCCGCAACCACCAAGGTAACTACCAGCCTCAACTCTTCACCACCACTCCCACAACATCAATCACCACCACTCGACAGTTACAGCCCAATCACCACCACTCGACAGTTACAGCCCAATCACCACCACTCGACAGTTACAGCCCAATCACCACCACTCGACAGTTACAGCCCAATCACCACCCCTACACACGAGCAATGGTCGTTACTATCTTCTTGAGGTTATCTTGAGATGATTTCGGGGCTTTTTAGTGTCCCCGTTGCCCGGTCCTCGACCAGGCCTCCACCCCCAGGAAGCAGCCCGTGACAGCTGACTAACACCCAGGTACCTATTTTACTGCTAGGTAACAGGGGCATAGGGTGAAAGAAACTCTGCCCATTGTTTCTCGCCGGCGCCTGGGATCGAACCCAGGACCACAGGATCACAAGTCCAGCGTGCTGTCCGCTCGGCCAACCGGCTCCCTGTGTGTAACAGAGTACTACCCACCACCCTTACCAAACAAGGCAGTTCTCACCAAACAACCACTTGAGGAAGTGGTTACCTATACACTAACCTCCACCAATAACTATCCAAATGAAAGATGAATGGATCAGAGAGTAAAGGGGGGGGGGGGGAGGGGGACAAGGAGCTTCAACACCCGTATATATATATATATATTATGCAAATTATGCAATTAACGATAATTACAGCTTCATTTGACGCCCCCTGTGTTGCGCAACGTTAATTACACCAATTAAATAACATATTGGGGGAGAAAGAGGCACGTTTATTTAAATAGTTTACCGTACGATTGATATATGTTATGGTCATATATCATTATATATATATATATATATATATATATATATATATATATATATATATATATATATATAATATATATATATAATATATATATATATATCATTATATATAATGATTATATATCATTACATATGGCTATATACTAGTCACTAACATAGAGAAATCACATTATCGTGATATGAATGAACCAATGAGATCATTGAACATATCACTGAACATTCAATATATCATTGAACAATGAACGGCTCCTGTGGATCTGTTCAGTCACTAACGTGTGTGAACAAAAGGTACATAGCGGGACAGGATGCCTTGGAAGATGTGTAGACACCAAGAGGAACTCTCTCGAGAAAGTATACCTTCTTGAGTGAAAGAGAAAGACTGAGATAAAAGGACGCAATTGATGCTAACTTATTACCTAATTTCAAGAGCAAGGTTATGCCACAAGGCCAAGACGGTTGGCTGAAAGACTGGGGCCCAAGAGCTAGTACTCGTCCTGTACTGGGGCCAGATTCACGAAGACGTTACGCAAGCACTTACGAACCTGTCCATCTTTTCTCAATCTTTGGCGGCTTTGTTTACAATTATTAAACAGTTAATGAGCTCCGAAGCACCAGGAGGCTGTTTATAACAATAACAACAGTTGATTGGCAAGTTTTCATGCTTGTAAACTGTTTAATAAATGTAACCAAAGCCGTCAAAGATTGAGGAAAGATGTACACGTTCGTAAGTGCTTGCGTAACTGCTTCGTGAATCTGGCCCCAGGTTCGTAAGTGCTTGCGTAACTGCTTCGTGAATCTGGCCCCAGGTTCGTAAGTGCTTGCGTAACTGCTTCGTGAATCTGGCCCCAGGTTCGTAAGTGCTTGCGTAACTGCTTCGTGAATTTGGCCCCAGGTTCGTAAGTGCTTGCGTAACTGCTTCGTGAATCTGGCCCCAGGTTCGTAAGTGCTTGCGTAACTGCTTCGTGAATCTGGCCCCAGGTTCGTAAGTGCTTGCATAACTGCTTCGTGAATCTGGCCCCCAGGACCACACCAGGACTGGTGGTCTAAGTGAGGTCCTGCACACTCCACAGGACCACACCAGGACCTCAGCCCACGACGCCCCGGAACCCCACAGAAAAGCCCCCTTGAGGTCCATATTCCAGGGGGTCCTTCCGGAGGAGGAGGCACCCGTCCCAGCTGGCATAATATTTTACCGTCGACTGTCCAAACGAACCCTCACTCTCCACCGAGGTCCGGACGGGTGCATCTGTCTATGGACGGGGAAGGAGGGACAGGGGGATGGGAAGGGTTTCAGGTGCTGTAGACGGTATGAGAGGAGCAGGAGGAGAGAGGGAAGAGAGGGAGAGGGAAGAGAGAGAGAGAGGAGGAAGAGGGGGCGAGTAGAGAGAGAAAGAGGAGAACAAGTGTCATATGTGCTACTCCACAGTGCTCAAAGGTACGATAGCTGTGTTCTAATCACTTGACCTGGTGAGACAACTAACCTCTACCACTACCACCACTGCTGCCCTAACAAGGGGGGCTCCCCTCCCCCCCTAACAAGAGGGGGGCCCCCTAGCATGGTTTCGCTCTAATAATAATAATCCTTTATAAAAACATAGCCAAATCAGTTGGGTCTTTATAACGTGATTCCATTGACAGGAAAGCCATAACAAAATTACAAATTATATATACACAAATATTTGTAATGGATCGAAGCTGTGGACCTGCCTAGTGAAACGTGGAGTGTGAATTCCGTAGAGTTTGGGTCGGCGTCTTATAATTGCTGGAATTCATTGGTCAAGCAGAACTAGCCACACTCCCCCCTCCCATGGTGTCTCTCACACCCATGGTGTGAGAGACACCATGGGAGGGGGGAGTGAGGGGGGAGGGGGATTCTCTCTCACACCCTGGTGTGAGAGAGAACCTCCTCTCCCTCACCCCTGACCTGAGAGACAACCCCCTCCATCACCCCTCACCCATCACCCCTCACCCAACTCACCAACAACATTGAGAGAGATGGTGAACGTCTCCTTGCCGAAGCCATTGACAGCGGAGCAGATATAGAAGCCTTGATCCGTCACCGTCACTTCCTTAATCTTGAGAGTCCTCCCTTGTAGCCTCATCCGCTCCCAGCCCTCCTCCGGGATCACCTCGTCGCCCTGCAACACACACCAACACCTCCAATTACATATCTCAAGAGTCCAAAGTCGTAAGCTGTTTATTAAATGTAGATAATGATGTACGTAATTTGGGGAAGATGCAGCGGTTTCGTAACTGGTTGTTCAAGTACTTGATGGATCTTTTCATAGGTACCTATAACCCCTGAAATAGGACACAAGAAATATTTGAGACTATCATTATATATATATAGAATGAATTATATATATATATTCCTTCCGACATAGGCTGGTCAGAAGGACTAAAGCCGACGAGCCTATGTCCGGCCCATACCGCAGACCATTCACCCAGCAAAGTTGGGCGAGGCAAGCCATAGGTATCTGATCTCTAGCCTCATACAGACAGATACTCTCTCTCTCTCTCTCTCTCTCTCTCTCTCTCTCTCTCTCTCTCTCTCTCTCTCTCTCTCTCTCTCTCTCTCTCTCTCTCTCTCTCTGTATGTATGTATATCATACTTGAAGAACATTTTGAAAACAAAACACATTTCACTTTTGACTTGAAGACTGGAACAGTGCGACGCTCCCCAAACTATCGCAAGACTTTTGTCTCTTGCAAGAACTATTTAGCATCAGCTGGCGGAAGTGACAATATGCACAGCTGTTGAAGCGTCCTTTCAACACCCAGTGGTTGGGACACCCGGGTCCGTTCCGGGCTCCCAACACCCGAATGTTGACAAATGATATGTAGATTCGTAGCTATGTATCATGGAACAACAAAACTATGTGAAGTAAGAGATGGGGGGGGGGCCGAACCCGTCTCTCTCAGGCTCAAAGGGATAGATATCCAAGCAGCAAACAAGTTACGTGTATTGGCGAACCTGTGGCTTCCTTACGGGAGCCTGTACCGTCCTACGCGAGCCTGTACCGTCCCTTCGCAAGCCTGTACCGTCCCTACGCAAGCCTGTACCGTCCCTTCGCAAGCCTTTATCGTCCCTATGCGAGCCTGAACCTTCCCTACGCGAGCCTGAACCTTCCCTGCCGACAAGACAAGTGAGACAAATAGCCAGCGCCTGCCAAAGCAAGTCCCCCTGGAACCGGATCAAAAATACTCTTGGAAAACACCAGAGTTACTCCTGTAAGAAGTCTCCGTTTTCTGTGTGTTATCCAACTCTTACCTAGAGTTACAACCGACGTAGACTTGATAAACAACATTGCGTCGCGTCTCCTGTGGAACCGCTCCACTCTCGGGGCTGCCAATCCCAGCCAATCGGGCCTGTAGGAGGCAGTTTCGACCACCCCACCAATCAGAAGCGTGATTCGGAGCGCCGGTATTCCTGTTTTATCTACATCTATAACTCCGGTACACAGAAGGACCCGCAGTGGAGGCGCTTCCGGCTTCGCCACTGACAAGTTTCTTCGACACAACTTAACGACGCTTAACGACGGTCGTTAAGTCTCGCGCACACAATGGGGAGGCGCTCGTTCATCCTTTGGTGGTTCACCGTCCCCTCCTATCCCAGCTGGCGACCACTGACTTGGGCTGCAGGACGAACACCCACCCCTTTAAACACCTACCCCTACAAACACCTACCCCTACAAACACCTACCCCTACAAACACCTACCCCTACAAACACCTACCCCTACAAACACCTACCCCTACAAACACCTACCCCTACAAACACCTACCCCTACAAACACCTACCCCTACAAACACCTACCCCTACAAACACCTACCCCTTCAAACACCTACCCCTACAAACACCTACCCCTTCAAACACCTACCCCTTCAAACACCTACCCCTTCAAACACCTACCCATTACAAACACCTACCCCTACAAACACCTACCCCTACAAACACCTACCCCTTCAAACACCTACCCCCTACAAACACCTACCCCTACAACACCTACCCCCTACAAACACCTACCCCCTACAAACACCTACCCCCTACAAACACAGTACCATCAACCTATCAACTACAACACAAATCTCTCTCCACTACACGAGACCACAATCAAACATTTATCCACAAAAAATGTGGAGAAATATCTGTCAAATGGTTTGTCAGACATTTCGGGCCAATTCCGGAGCGCTCACCACCTTCGCCACATTACGAACCTCATCTCGAACTGCAGACGTGTTGCAGAGTATGCAAATTAGACGGGAAAAGTGCATAATTGCCCCCTGAGTCACCTCTGACCTGTGGTTGTGGAATACGGGTGTTCAACAAGTCGATTTACACAGAAGGAAGAGGTTGTAGAATTCAACAAAAGAAGTTGTAGAATTCAACAAAAGAAGTTGTAGAATTCAACAAAGAAAGTTGTAGAATTCAACAAAGAAGTTGTAGAATTCAACAAAGAAGTTGTAGAATTCAACAAAAGAAGTTGTAGAATTCAACAAAGAAGTTGAAGAATTTAACAAAGAAGTTGTAGAATTCAACAAAGAAGTTGTAGAATTCAACAAAGAAGTTGTAGAATTCAACAAAGACGTTGTAGAATTCATCAAAGAAAGTTGTAGAATTCATCAAAGAAAGTTGTAGAATTCAACAAAAGAAGTTGTAGAATTTAACAAAGAAGTTGTAGAATTCAACAAAGACGTTGTAGAATTCATCAAAGAAAGTTGTAGAATTCATCAAAAGAAGTTGTAGAATTCAACAAAGAAGTTGTAGAATTCAACAAAGAAGTTGTTGAATTCAACAAAGAAAGTTGTTGAATTCAACAAAGAAGTTGTAGAATTCTCAAAGAAGTTGTAGATTCAACAAAGAAGTTGTAGAATTCACCAAGAAGTTGTTGAATTCAACAAAGAAAGTTGTTGAATTCACAAAGAAGTTGTAGAATTCTCAAAGAAGTTGTAGAATTCAACAAAGAAGTTGTAGAATTCAACAAAGAAGTTGTAGAATTCAACAAAGAAGTTGTTGAATTCAACAAAGAAAGTTGTTGAATTCAACAAAGAAGTTGTAGAATTCTCAAAGAAGTTGTAGAATTCAACAAAGAAGTTGTAGAATTCAACAAAGAAGTTGTTGAATTCAACAAAGAAAGTTGTTGAATTCAACAAAGAAGTTGTAGAATTCTCAAAGAAGTTGTAGAATTCAACAAAAGAAGTTGTAGAATTCAACAAAGAAGTTGTAGAATTCAACAAAGAAGTTGTTGAATTCAACAAAGAAAGTTGTTGAATTCAACAAAGAAGTTGTAGAATTCTCAAAGAAGTTGTATAATTCAACAAAGAAGTTGTAGAATTCAACAAAGAAGTTGTAGAATTCAACAAAAGAAGTTGTAGAATTCAACAAAAGAAGTTGTAGAATTCAACAAAAGAAGTTGTAGAATTCAACAAAGAAGTTGTAGAATTCAACAAAGAAGTTGTTGAATTCAACAAAGAAAGTTGTTGAATTCAACAAAGAAGTTGTAGAATTCTCAAAGAAGTTGTATAATTCAACAAAGAAGTTGTAGAATTCAACAAAGAAGTTGTAGAATTCAACAAAAGAAGTTGTAGAATTCAACAAAGAAGTTGTAGAATTCAACAAAAGAAGTTGTAGAATTCAACAAAGAAGTTGTAGAATTCAACAAAAGCATCTGAACGTCAGAATAGGTCAATTATAACACAACAGAACAAGAGGCTATAGCAGACAGGGGCATAACAGTGCTACTAACCTCACTTCCCCCTAAACAGTGACAGGTAAGTAGGTACTTACACTACCTACCAGTACTTAGACAGTACTGGTAGGTACCACCACAATAATCGTCGATAAAGTGTGTAACACAGAGAGAGGAATTTGTCACCAGCAGAGGCTAGAGTGAAGAGCTGTGTCATGTTAAAGAGTTCTGTACTGCAGAGCACAGAGCACTGCTCCTCTACAGTGACTGATCTCTCTCTCCGTATGGCCATGGCAGGAGTGGCGCTGTTGTAATAAATATGGGAAAATGGAGAGAGAATGGGGAGGAAGAGCAAATAGAGGGAGAGAGAGAGAATAGGAGGAGGAGAGGTGAGAGAGAAGGTGCAGAATAGAGTAGCAGAGACCAGGTGGAAGAGACATTCTCTTTCGTATATTTATCTTGGACAAATATAAGTCGCTATTAAAAGTGTGGATTTTCACCCCTGTTCACTGCGGTAGGGCGACGGTCTCGCTTCATGCAGGTCGGCGTTCAATCCCCCGACCGTCCACAAGTGGTTGGTTCACCATTCCTTCCCTGCCCCGTCTCATCCCAAATCCTTATCCTGACCCCCTTCCCAGTGCTATATAGTCGTAATGGCTTGGTGCTTTCCCCCTGATAATTTCCCCTCCCTCCCAATTGGCTCCATGTGGTATTAATCACTCGTTAAACGATCGTTTTTGACCATTCAGGAAATGTTCAACGAACTCATATACTATATCAATGCTGTTTCTCGTAAGGTGAAGAAGTTACTAAGTCAAGCTAGGGGTCTCCAGGCGGAAACTTGCGGTTGTGCACTGACGTTTAAGGAAGCGGTTGGCTTGTGCAGTGTGCGGTCTCCAGTGTGAGACCCACGGCTTGTGAGACAGAGAGAGACAGAGAGATGCACCACAGAGACCCTTCTCCACCCTCGACTAAATATCCCATAACCAGAGGGGACCGCTACTGGCCATCACGGCATGAAACCCATCACGAAATACGCCCCAACAAGCAAGATCTGACGTGTAGAGAGGGCAGCAGAAGGCAGCAACCGCGCCATAACCATTCAAAATGCAATCGTAGTCTCAGAGAGGGTGCAGCCCTCAGGTCTCCACACTGAAGAAACACACACGGGAACGAGGCCATCAATCCTCGAGGTCCCCCTTGCAACGGCTGGGGACCACATACTCAATATACCAGCTCACGATGACTGCCTTCAAGGGGGTGACTCTGCCAACCCTTTGCTGGCAGGATAATCACCCTACACGACCTCTGACCCCTAAATGACGCCTCCGAGGTCTTTGTGTTGGCTCCCTGACTCGTCCATCTAGTTGATAAGGCCGAATATGATGAGCAAATTCCCCTTCGTATCAACAGGAATTAATCCTGCGACGGGGAAGCGCGTTCCCACTCA